GCCAGGAGCCTGATGGTGGAGCTGCTCTTCTACGTTCCGTCGACCAGTGGGAGCTACGCTTTTTCCCTCCAGGCCGCTGTTCCGATCTCATCTAGCTTGGGTGGATGGTGTTGTGTGTGTGTGTATATGTTTTCTTAAGTTTTCGCGGGTACTTACATGTATGGTGTTCGGCTTGGTTCGGGTATTTTCCCACGTCATTGTAGTTCTTTTAAAGTTGTAGCAATGGAACAGCTGTCCTGCCCTACATAAGAGGTACTACAGACAAAATTAGTAAGGTACTACACAGACATCACATCAGGACTGCCTTCAAAACAGACAGAAAAATAGCAGCCATCCTTAGCAACCCCAAAGATAAAATTGACCTGGAAAACCAAGGCATATACGAAGTCCCCTGTGCATCATGCCCGGCCACATACATTGGACAGACCAATAGAAGAATAAGCACCCGCCTGGATGAACACAAAAATGCAGTCAAAAAGCTGGAACACACTTCCTCACTAGTCCAACACATGGAAGCCACAGGTCATAGCATCAACTTCAATGGCACCAAAACCCTGGCCACTATAGAAAACCCTAATCACAGAATCATCAGAGAAGCCATAGAGATTGAAAAAAGACCAGAAAGCATGAATAGAAGAGATGATTCCACCAGGCTGTCAATCATTTGGAAGCCTGCACTCACAAACAAAAAAATCTCCACACCACAAGCCAGGCAAACACCTGGGCACAAACAGATCCCCCCTGATACCTCCAGCTCAAACACATCCCAACCAGGCACCCAGATGAAACCCAGCTTCCTAACTAATGATAGCCGTCCATTTACCCGAAGCCAAGCTGCACTAAAGACCTCCATTAAAGCAACACAATGCTGCCAGCCAATCAAGATACAAAAAGAGCCAAAAAACAGACAGAAGATATTAGAGACACCAATCAAGCAGAACACAGCAAACTCCGAGACCAGTAAACACAGACCAAGTCTCCCAACCAATCAGGATGAAGAAAAAACCATTCTGGCACAGCAATAGGCTGCCCCAAATTCAAATCTGAAACTACTGTAAAAGTCTGACTCACAGACGGACACAATACAGAAGCCTGATGATGGCAGATGAGATTCTGCTGAAACGTTGCTACAACTTTAAAAGAACTACAATGACGTGGGAAAATACCCGAACCAAGCCGAACACCATACATATATATATATATATATATATATATACACACACACACATGCATACATCAAAGAGTCATAAGTATTCATATCCTATATAAAAAGAACTGCTCAGATCTTCCGACAGAGATAGTTCTCAACTTATAACCACAATTGTGTCATTTCAATCATAAGTTGTTGAGGTCATAAGCTGAGATAAACACATATGACTAGCCCCATTTTTTATTCTTTTTGCAGTGATCATTTAGCAAATAACACAGTCATTGAACTGATCCATTCTTTGAATGGGTGGAGGTTTTCCCCCCCAGAAACTGGCAAAAAAAAAATTACAAATTGTGTTCATGTGACTACAGGGCACTGCAACCGAGCCAATTGCCAAATTGCCAAGTTGAAATGCAGTCATGTGACTACAGGAGGATAACACAATTTTTATGTGTTTATTACATTTATTTATTAAATTTTATTTGTTTATTCAATGTATTTGCTTCCCATCTCATAACAAGTGACTCTGGGCAGCTTATATTGGCTGAAAGTGCATTGCAGGCCATCAAGCCCTATTTTTTGAGGCTTTTTATAAGTTCAAATAGTCATTAAAAGATTCATTGCAAATCAAGGATTACCTATATATTCAGTTGTATTGCCAATCTAAAACAATGACTTACAAAACCTGATTGACATGTTCAAGGCTGAAAAGCAACTTGCTTTCCCTTTAATCAAGTCATTTGTGCATTTAGTGCAATTCCTTCTATTCTGTGATGGAGTGCTTTTTTTAGCAGCTATCATCCATCGCCTTCTTCAAATTGGAAAAGGCAGAAACAGAAATTCGATCTTCTCCACTAAAGCAGGTGATCTGCCACCAAATTGTCATCTGTGGGGTGATTCTTGGAAGATATAGTTTTATGATTGGTCAGTAGCATTTATTTATACAGGGATTCTCAACGTTTGTAATTCTGCAACCGGTTGAACTAATAAATTAATGATGCTCTCCTTAAGCCATAATTTCATTACCCCTAAGGATGGGGCTAAATAAACACACCTACCAGGTTCAATAATAATTTCAGTGAACCTAACAAAAATCACAGAGACCCCTGCCATGTCACAAACGAGAGGTCCAACTTGAAAACTGAACTACTCAGTGAAAAGAATGTCTGAAGTCCAGAAGTATCTTTAAAACTCCACTCTGTACTCACTTTGGAATAACATTTTCTGTTTGGAGCAACAGTTGCAGAAAATATCCACATTTCTGGCATCCAGGATGAGTGAGGATGAACTCCAGCTGCACTCAAGCACTAGGGTGCATGCTATACTTACTAAATCCCTGCAAGACTAAATGGAAGCCATATAAAATCATGTTCCAGGCCTTTCCCCTGCTCCAGTGATTCAATTCCAGGGATATGTACCATGGACATCCAGAGCTGAATCCCTCAGGATCAAATTGAAATCCTGTAATGACACTGGAACACAAAGTAAAGAGATGCTGCCTAGGGAATGATCCAGTGGTAGGATTCCACATTTTTTTCCCTACCGCTTCTATGAGAGCACGCAGCACTCAAAAACCGCCCTCTGTGTCAGCGCTATTTAGGTGAGCTATTTTTTAGCTCAGCTGACGTGCGGCAATCCATGTGCCATGCAAATCAGCTGAGCTAAAAAACAAGGGAATATAAGACAGGAAAGGTGAGTGGGTGGGGCCAGTCAGAGGTGGTATTTGCCGGTTCTCCGAACTACTCAAAATTTCCACTACTGGTATGCAAGAACCGGTTCGAATTGGCTGGATACCACCTCTGTCAGCTACACCTGCATGATGGGTGTGGAAAGGGCTCAGAACAGACCCTACCTAACTTCTCAGACTGTCAGGGAGATGGTAGGAGATTTGTACTTCTCGATTTGCAAGGGTCTACTAATGTAGCCTTACAGTAAAGTAGAATTAGTTCATCTGGTTTGCTTGGGAAGACCGTCCTTAACCTGCTTTCCAGCTCCATTCTGCTGTGCAGGGCAACAAAAGAAGACCCAGCCAATCAGCTGGGACTCAATGGAAGGCAGAGAATAGATGGGGGTGGGGCCAGTCAGAGGTGGCATTTGCCGGTTCTCCAAACTACTCAAAATTTCCACTACCGGTTCTCCAGAACTGGTCAGAACCTGCTGAATGCCACCTCTGCCTCTGATCCTCAAGAAAGCGCACTGTATGCTGGACTGAGATGTCGTCATAACACCTACCACAAGTGGATGTGTGTCTGCCCAAAACATGCCTCCAAATGAGATCCACTATTACTTAGCAGAACCCTTTAAAATACCTGCTTTTAATTTTACCTGGAAAGTGAGATCTTGTGATTTGCCTTTTTTTATATCTACTTTTCTTATTTTCTTCCCTTCCTTGCTAAGGTCATGAAATACCTTAGCAAACATTTGGGAACTGGTCTACACCTTCTCTCTCTCACTCATCCAAGCTCCCACTTCAAAACGAAATAATCCCCTTAAATGGTTCAGTTATAGGTCAACCTGAAGGTCAATATTAGAATTAACACTCAACCCTAAGTGCACTTCCATGCCTGGGAATTCATCAACATTAATGGGGCCATTTCCAAATCAAAATATTTAAAAACCAGGTTCTTGTATCCAACGATTAAAGGAGTGTTGTGCCGCTGGGCATCTTTTCCATTGTTTATACTTTTGCTTGTTATGCAGGCCACACACATCCCTATTTAAAGATGCCATAAACAGTTTTCTTTGAGCCAATTAATGGAGAGGAAAATGGCTTTTCACTTCAGTAGTCCCAAAGTACTCCAGCCACTTAAGATTCAGCCATGAAGACTGCTTTATTTCATTAATAGGCACACAAACCCCCATTTGTACTACATGCTAATGGTTTAAGCTCTTAGAGCTATTGCAACACTCTAAGCAAAGAGAAGGGAAGGACTATGCAAATCAAAGCAGACATCACAGCAAGAATGAAAGGGCTATGCAAAATAAATCACAGATCACAAAGGAGTTTGGTTGTTGTTGTTTTTTGCACCTATGCAAATGAAGGCATGGTATCAGAGGAGTTACAAATGGGTTATGCCCACGAAAGCATGACATCAGAGCACCAAGAGATTTTTGTACACCTGTCAGATGAGGCATAACCATCTCTCCACTAATCTCTTGGCTCATTGGCCACAGTTGATAGGGCAAGGAACGAATGAATTATTAACCAGCATGTAGGAACCGGTAGATTTTTTTTCAGATGATCTACTGCCTCATTAAATCGTATCTTATGGAAGGTAAGTCTTAAGATGCTTTCTTAAATTGAATTTCTGACTCAGACTCAAGTTTTCTTTGGTTGGCCATTGGTAGAGTAGAGTAGAGTAGAGTAGAGTAGAATAGAGTAGAATAGAATAGAATAGAATAGAATAGAATAGAATAGAATAGAATGGAATGGAATGGAATGGAATGGAATGGAATGGAATGGAATGGAATGGAACGGAACGGAACGGAACGGAACGGAACGGAACGGAACGGAACGGAACGGAACAGAACAGAACAGAACAGAACAGAACAGAACAGAACAGAAGAATTAGAAGGGACCTTGAGGGTCTTCTAGTGCAACCCCCTGCTTAGGCAGGAAATCCTACACCATTTCAGACAAATGGTTATCCAATCTCTTCTTAAAAACTTCCAGTGTTGGAGCATTCATGACTTCTGGAGGCAAGTTGTTCCACTGATTAATTGTTCTCACTGTCAGGAAATTTCTCCTTAGTTCTAAGTTGCTTCTCTCCTTGATTAGTTTCCACCCATTGCTTCTTGTCCTGCCCTCAGGTGCTTTGGTGAAAAGCTTGACTACCTCTTCCTTGTGGCAGCACCTGACTGATTGTGGCTTGTACTTGATTGTGGCTTGTCCTCCATCTCCTTGAGGTTACTCTTACAGCCAATTACAGGCTGGTAGTACTAGATTGGTGTAATTTTCCATGGAAGAGACTCATAACATCTTGGTCTGGTCTATTGCTGGCTCTTTCTTCAGTATGTATTTACATTGGGCTTACATAAAGCTTAGCGTGAGGTCAAACATACAGTAAATTCTTTGACTGTGATGTACCAAGAGATAGACTAACATCGCCTTCATCTCCTACAACAATTTCAAGGATCCACATTTCATTATCTGTAAACACAGGTATCATTACTTAGTGGCCACAATTGAGACCGACAATTCCATCGCTCAGCAATACTATCGTTAAGGGAAACATCATGAGACCATGACACTTAAATGTACTCACTTTTGCCATGGTCATTAACCAAGACCTCATATGGCTGCCACTTGTGATGTTACTGCCAACTTCTCTAATGACCCTGTTTGCCAAAACTAATTGTGAAGGACACAAATATTGTTCAGTAATCATAGCATCCTGGCATGGTCATAAATGCCCACTGGCTCTGAAGCAGCCAAATGTCAATCATATGACCATGGGGTTGTGGTGACAGTCATAAATACAAGTCATAATGTTGCTTTATCAATGTGGTCATAACTTTGGTTATTAAAGAAGGCAATCCTTAAGTGAGGACTACCTATACTTGAGCTCCAACGTAGGAGGACACACACACTGGAATATTCAGGTGCTTTAGCCTCAGTATCAGCCCAACCAGGTAAACCAGACAAGAAATTAACTCCATAGGAAGACTAAAATTGGGATTACCTATAAAACCAAACTTTGCAAATCTGATTGTTCTGTGCATTCTGCTTCTTGTAGTTCAATGAATCAGGGAAGTATCTCTTCTGAAGGATATCTGGACATTCTGGGCTTTAAAAATACAAATTGAGGCAATTCTACCGGAGTGACTGAGAATCTTCATTGATGTATTACCACACACTTTGGGGAAGAAACCCTGAGGTTGGTGTGGAAATACACACTAAGAATTTTAGGAGTTGGTACATTCCAACGGCTCTCCTATTCAAATTTCCTAACCAACTTGTTCAGATTGAAGAAGCTGCTGGGATGGGCAGCAAAACATCTCAAACCAACAAGAAAATAAGTCCAGTTGCCATGACTAAACATCCAGACAATTCTAAAGTTAGAATGTAGTCTTCTGTTATCATTGCTTTAAGACGGATTCATATCCGACCTGTGGAAATGTGACATGTGTTTTATGCAAAAGAGTTTTACAAGTTGGTGCAAAACCATTTATTTTATTTTTATAGTTTCCAGTGCTTGTGATAATCATTCTGCCCTATTTTCACTCCATTGTCTCACAAGGAATGCTGTAAAGTTGTCTTGTGTCAATTTGGTGGTAAAGCATCTTAGCTAAGCCTTCCATATTGTGCTAATGAGTGCTATCCGGGCTGTACTTCATACATTCCAAGTTGCAAATGGAAAAGATATTTCCTAATTAGATCAACAGTAATGCAATAAAGAGATATAACAAATCCCATCTATCCAATATTGCTAATTCAGAAGGAAAATGGATAACTTGTGTCATTTGTTGAATGGGCAGGTAAATTGCAAATTAATCATAATGGATATTTTTCCCCCTTTTGATTTACAGTTGAAGATAATAACCAGTCTCAGAAGAAGAAAATTACAGTGGAAGATCTATTCAGCGAAGATTTCAAAATTCATGACCCAGAGGCTAAATGGATAAGTGGTAAGTCTTGCAATCACGTATAAAAATAACTTCCTACACCATTTGTTTCAAGCACTTCTCTTGCCTGGAGTGTTTCATTGTATTATTCAGCTGAGCAAAATTTTATCAAGAGATTCTGTATGAGTCAAACCTTTTTATCCAGTGAATATAGTGATGCCACAACTGGCAACATCTTTCGCAATATTATTTAAGTACAAGGATCCTTTTAGGCTTTATAAATAGGATGTCGCTAAGAGCTGAACTAGAAAACTTTATTTAATTTTAAAAATAGTAATAAGTCATGCCTCCATAAAAAAGAGAAGTATTCTAGAGTAATACATCGGTATTACTAATTAATTATTAGTAGAAACTAAACTTAGTGAAACTAAGAAGTGTAAAAGCTTTTTATCTAGGTTTAACTGCAAAAAGGCCAAAGCAAATAGAAAAGGTTTTAATCTTGTGCCAAAAAGTGTATTATAATCAGGGTATGTCTCAAAGGAACGTATACCAAAGTAAGGGTGTTAGCATTGCCAGAAAGTTGTTTTTTTCCAATATGGAGAAAGTAACTTTACAAGTAAGAATATACATAAGCTGTTTTTGATTTGTTGATGGAGCTGCTTTGAGGCTTGAGCTGCTGTACAGATAGTTGTGAAGATAAAACAAAAAAAAGTGCCCAGAATTCCTTACAAGAAGGACAGGAGACATAAAGTGGATAAAATGAGACAGAATGAGAGACAGATTTGGAATATAGATTCTGCTCCTCCCTTTCATGACAGAGTTCTGGGTTTCTGCCTTCCCAATCTGTAGATCTGTTCAGACTGAGATTCCAGGTTTCTGTACCCAACATAAAAAAATCCAGCCCTCTCTGGCCCACCATGTTTTCCATAAGTTAATCCTGCATTGTTCAAACCGCAGTGTTCTGACCAAGGCTTCCTGAGACTGCAATTAAGCACACACTTAGTTATAACAACTTGTGTTTTATTTCAACGCTGGGAATTACGTTCATTCCCAGCCGGTAATGAGTCCCAAACAGTCCCTCAAGATAAGCACCCACCTTTCTTTCCTTTGAATTGCTGCTAACAATTAGAGTGCCAACTGAATTATAAAAAATCAACCAAAGTAGAAAATCCACCCAGAGCTTCAAGGATTAATCTGAACAGACTGAACGACTTTGCTTCCTGCAAAGGTTTTGTCACCTTTGCCTGTCCTTTATACCTTATGGGAGGACAATCACCTCCCAGCCTTACTCCTGAGTCACCCCTTTTTCTCAGCTGCTCTTGCCTTCTAGCAGCTCTGTCCACATGCACACTGGGAACAGGTTCCCCTGGATCCTCTGCTTCACTGCTGCCAAGCTCCAGAGGCAGCATCCCACTCCCAGATGATCCTGGCCCCATCTCTACATCGGACGCAGGACCCTCATCTGAATCCTCTCCAGATTCCCTGACTGATCCCCATTCTTGCCCGTGTCCAATTCCACTGCCATCTGCACAGGCTGCCAGTGAACCCAACAAAAATATAATGCAGTGCATTACAAAATATATCTGCCTCCCATCATATCAACACCAAGGATGCCTGAGTAGAATATTTGACTCCTGTTTCTCTAAGTGACTCTAAAATCTTTAGATGAGAAGTGTGCCAAATGTTTTAATTTTGTCTATATATTCCTCACTTAGAATCGTGACATCTTGTTATTCATATATTCTGTTGCTTAATGTTTGTTTAGTGGTAAAGCCTCAAGATGAGGTAAAATGAAAGCACTGTTAACCAGCTGCTCTCTTACATTTTTAGAACAAAATCTGGGGAGTGTGAACAGGTGTTCCAGTCATCATAGGGATATATACACAGATAGTCCTCAACTTATGACCACAAATAATTTACTGCACCTCTGTATGGTTTGCCAATTGCACAGTGGCAGATAGGAAAGCACTCCAGAGGGTTAATGTCATTGCCGAGAGGATCATTGGTTGTCCTCTCCCCTCTTTGGAAGAGCTTTATAGCTCCCGCTGCCTTAAGAAAGGTCAAAACATTCTCAAAGATCCATCTCATCCTGGGCAGCCTTTTTTTGAACTATTACCATCTGGCAGATGGTACAGGATAACAAAAACAAGGACAAATAGGCTGAAAAACAGCTTCTATCCCAGGACAGTAACTCTACTGAATTCTACTGTATAGTGCAGTATTGGTGCATTACAAAATATATATGCAAAAAAAATATTTTAATGGTCATTATGTGCACTGAAGATAGTGTTTGATTTTGTTGGTGAAGTGCAATGACAATAAAGTAAACTAAGCTAAACTAAATGAAAAGTTCTGTTGCTAAGTAAGGCAGGGTTAAATTGCTTCATTTTATGAACTTTTGCTAAAGTTGTTAACTGAATCTCTAGAGTTGTTAAGTGAATCTGGCTTCCCCATTGATTTTGTTTGTCATAAGGCTTTGCAGAAGGTGATTGCATGATCCCAGAACACGCCAACCATCATAAATATATGTCAGTTGCCAAGCATCCAAATTTTGACCACATGATGGGGATGCTGCTAAGGTTGTAAGCATGAGGACCGGTGATAAATCACGTTTTTCAGTGCTGTTGTAGCTTTGAATGTCACCAAATAAATGAATGTAAGTCAAGGATTACCTGTATAGTGTGATTAATTTAATACAAAGATACTATTATTGAAATAGCTAGATTTATTCTTACACTGCACTGTCAAGCATTCTTCTCAGGCAGAGTATAGAAATTACTTGAAGTAGTACCTGGGTGACTAAAAACTTCATGACCTCACTTCATCAGGCAGCAACTAGAAGGTCCATCATACACCTGGGTGTATTTAGATATAAATCCCATGGACATGACTTCTAGTAAGTGCAGGGATTTCACATCAATCTTTTAGTGTATTGAGAGTTTGGGTTATTTTGGGACCAGATTTGTGGTGTATAGATTACCATGTAACCAGTGGTGGGATTCAAAAGTTCCCACCACCAGTTCTGTGAGCGTGGCTTGGTGGGCGTGGCTGCAGGGGTGGGATTGTGCGACTTTGCTTGCTTTGTGCACGCGTTAAAACAGTAAAAACTAAGCTAGTGCACCTCTCAGCTGTTTAGCAATCCGCTCTGCCACACCAAACATCTGAGAGGTTAAAAAGGATCTAGGAGCAGAGGCGGGCGGCTGAGCCCAACTGCAGAGCATTGGAGAGGCTCGGTGCGAACCGGTTCTCTACCAGCTGATCTTCAGTGTTACTGGTATGCCAGAACCAGGCTGAACCAGTAGAATACCACCATTGCATGTAACTATTCAAGATCTTGGGTGCAATAATGAATAGTTTAAAACAGGGGTGTCAAACTCGATTTCATTGAGGACTGCATTAGGGTTGTGTTTGACCTTGGGGAGCTGGGGTGGGCATGACAAGGGTGGGCATCACCAGCTCAACGTCACCATGTCAGGTGTGCCTGTGGAGGCCCGAGCGTTCTGCCAGGTAAAAGGGGCTCCCGGGCTCCGTTGTCAACTGTGATGGTCTCCTGCAACCTTGTGCCAGTGAAAACGGAGCTCCGGAGCTCCATTTTCACTGGTAGAGGCACTGCAGGACGGTCCTTCGCTGTTTCCAGGGCTGCCCCATGGGCCAAATTTGCCCCATGGGCCAAACCTTGTGGGCCAGATCCGGTCCACGGGCCCTGAGTTTGACACCTCTGGTTTAAATTGATCATGCAATGAGTGGGTTCCTGGATCTGCCAACTATATTTCTTCTCAAAAGGCTTCATCAAGCTACTTTTCTTTCCATCATTCTCTATTACAGTACCTGCCGGTCAGGACCAACCCAGAAGTGGATGAATTTTCTTTAGAAAATTAGCGATGCTGTCACTGATCTTAATCATGCAAAAGTGAAGACAAATAGATTTGAGAGTCTGGTACATCTTTGGGACTGCAGGAATAGAGAGAACTAGAGCCGGTTTAGTGTAGTGATAAAGGTGCTGGCCTAGAAATCTGGAGGCTCAGGGGTAGGAAAGACAATTTGATAAAATTGGGCCAGTCACTCTCTCTCACCTCATAGATGGTGGTTGTGAGGAAAATAGAAGACAGTGTATTATGTATGTTCATCATCTTAGGTTTCTTATAAAGTAATAAAGGCAGGATAAGAATCTAATAAATATAAAGACAGGATAAAAAATCTAATGAATAAATAAATTAAAGCCTTGGATCTTCTGGCACACAAGGCTGCCAGAAATACAAAGAAATTTCCATATGTAAGTTGGATCAAGACTCTGTTAAGCCTGGAATTGTAAGCTATGAAGACACTGGGTTGATGCTATGCTTGATACTGGTTTAACATTTTCTTTGTTCAGCACCACTGCTATCGGACAGCTCCCTGTCAATTGAAGCCTTTGGGTTCTGCAATAAAATAGAATAGAATAGAATTCTTTATTGGCCAAGTGTGATTGGACACACAAGGAAATTGTCTTGGTGCAAGAAATATTCGTCAAGAGTCAAGAATCATAAGGTGCAAGGACACTACCGTACTTGCAGGAAGAGTGGGAAATTGGAGCCCCATAGCAATGGAAAGGAAAATAGCAAATACAGTTTCTGGGTTTTACTTTTGCAAAAGAAAACATTTTTTAAAAAAACATCAAGCTATCTTCCATATGTGTACATACAGTGTGCCGGTTGGTTTACAAATCGTTTTGTGCTTCCATTTCGTAGTCTTCAATTACAATTACATTGCATATAATCTCATATTTTCAATCAAAAATTAAATACCTTAGTATCATTATTAATCAATCATTTGACTATACTTTTATTCATTCACGTTTTACAAGATAATCATAATTTACTTAGTTTGTTTTATAACAGTTCATATTATCATCCCAAATCTATCCTAAAATCATTTTGTAGTTATAATAAAAAAGAAATACATCTTTATATATTTATTATTTTCTAAGAGCCTACATATTTCATTACTGTATTTTATTGTCTAACCATTGATAGAATAGATCCCAGATTTTATAAAATTGTTTATCCTCTTGTTCTCTAATTTCA